GGTACTATCGTTATTATCATTCTAACTTCTATTATAGACCAAGGTTATTATGCATGTTTAAGTGAGAGTATTTCAGCTATATATGTTTGTCTACTAGATTAAGCTCAAAATCTAATTATATACCTTGTTAATACTAAGATTAATAAGAAAGAAAATGTTTTTCTTGTTTCATATTTTTAGATGTATATAATGAGCTTTTCTATAATGTCGTTCGTATCGTTCACATAGAGAAACAATCACTCGGGAAATCATAACATTCATGAAGAAATATATTTCAATAGATAATTAGTGTTCACTAATTCTGTCTCTTTTTTTCCAATAGTTTTTCATGCATTACAATACATCGAAAAAGAAGAAGAAGAAGAAGATGATGATGATGAAGAAAAAACTCAATAATTCAATCAACTAATTCAGCACTACTATTATCTAAACAACAAACACATATATAAATATATATAGAGAGAGGAACAGAAAACGACAAAAGCATTTTGACTAATTTGATTTGACAATATTCTTTTTCGTCCTATTTTCATAGAGCGATGTGATCATCAGTGGATCTGAGAAATTTCTCGTCGTCTCATACTTGATTTCCTACTTTTTTTTTCTTTTCTCTTTTTTTTTTATTTAGATTCTAAATAACAACAATGAATAGGTAAAAGACAAGAGAACGCTAAAGAGAAAAAGGCTTAAAACATACTCTAGGAAATTAATAATGAACGTTAAGAAACAAGTGAGCATAAGCAATAAAAATTAGAACTCATCAGGATTTTCTGCTATCAAGTAAATAAAAAGAAGAAAAAAGAGCGAAATAGAGAAAGGGGAAAGCTTCTCTCTCTTTTTCAAGTATTCTTAATGTTCATATTAAGAAAAAAAAAACCTGATTACTAGCAACTGAACTTTTTGATAGTGTTATGCAATGTATTCAATAGATATACATAAGAATGAGAGCAGATTATGTCGATGATTGTGAATAGTGACATAAATCGAAGATTTTAGTTGATGATTATATGACATATTTTGATCAAGAAAGAACTGAAGCCTTGATTTAAAATGTGTATACTTTTTTTTTCTGTACATTTATAATATTACATTTTTCTCTAGAATTCACTAATTATTAATAAAATAAATCAATGCTATGATTTGTATTCTTAACAATAGCATTATTTTGCTATTGATATTAATAATATATTTTGTATCATCGACAACAATATATCATAATGATTATGAACCACGTGTATTTGATTACATTCCATCTAATTGTTATGATTGTTTATCATATCGTGATATAATATTAACACAATTAACTGATGTTCCCGCACGATCATTTGCAAATTTTAATTTAGGTTCACGTGATACAAATATGATATTAAATGGTCAATTAAATTTACGTTTACATCCATATGCATTTCAATCATTAACTGTATATAAACCAAATAAAACATTAACAATAACATTAACAGCACCAAATTCTTGGTTAAATATAACAGAAAATACATTTAATGGTCTTGAACTTCATTCATATTCAACAATACGTATAATAATAAAATTTTTTTATGGTTGTACATTTCATAAAAATTCTTTATCTGGTATTAAAATGGATAAATATTCTCAATTAATTCTTGATATATCATCTGTAACTGAAATTGTTTTTGAAAATAATATAATTAAAGAAAATGATTTTAATTCATCAGTTAAATTTCTTATATCACGTACAGATACAATTATATTTGATTCATATTCATTTTTTCAATTAAATATTAAAATAAATCAAATAATAACATTTTATTTTGAATTAATATCACATATACATTTTAAATCTTATTCATTTAAATCCTTACAATTACAAACATCAAGTTCATTTAGATTTTATTCAATATTTTTAAATCGTTTAACTATTGATTCATATGCATTTGAAAATATGTTATTAGATTCAAATTCAATATTTAATTTTACTATTCATACATTAGGTACATGTTTATGTTTAAAATCATATTCATTTGATAATTTACAAGCTCAATATAAAAGTGAAAATGTTCTCATTTTATTTCAATTTTATACACTTCGAGGTTTATCTTTTTTTTCAAATACATTTTCAAATTTATCATTAAATACTATTGAAAATCAATTAAAAATTTCTTCAAATAATCCATTAAATGATCCAAATTTGATTATTAATTTTGCTGTTGATACATTTTCAACAATAAATAATGGTTCAATTATTTTAAATTTTTCTGAAATAATTTTAGTTAGATTTGAAAAAAATTCATTAAAAACAGATTATTTAAATTATAAAATTTTTTTCAAAGATATTTCATTTATTGATTTATCATCATTAGATTATAAATTAATTAATCAAAATTTTCATTTACATTTTGATGATGTTCAATATGTTAAATGGTATAAACAAATTATTGAAGAAAACAATCTTAAGTGAGTAAAAGTTATTTCACTTTATAATAAATGGAAAATAGTTTTAAACATTTACAATCAATCTTATTGAATTATTTATTTTTAGTCATGATCATCATCCTTCATTAATTCAATATCACTTTACTTATATTTCAAATTCTTCTTGTCTTATTTATTCTGCTTCACATTCTGTTCCATGGTTATTTTCAATGTCAAATTTAACAATATGTAATTGTCCTTTATTTTATGCTTATAAACATGGTCAACTTGATAGACAATTAATTCCTTGTCTAAATTCAATGTCTCAATATGAAATAATCCAACAAATGAATGAATGTAATTTTGATCGAATAGAAAATAATTGTCATTTAACACTTCAATCATTAACAAATATAAATAATACAAATGAAAATCTTTCTTCAAAAATTTTTCATTCATTTGAATTAAATAATTTATTAATTCAACAATTATATGATAAAAATTATCTTTCTTGTTCATTTAATTATTCTTTATTATCATCAACATTAATTATACGTTCACGTATATTTAATAATTTTGGTCTTATTATTGGTATTATTCTTTGTATATTTATTACATTACTTATTATTGTTATAGCTTTATTAAATGGTTTACAATATAAAATGAGAGAATATGATGAAACATGGACATGGAGACGAAATATGTCATGGACAACATTAAGACGAACATTATCACAAACATCATTAAGACGTTCAAGAAGAGATTTATGTACATTAAATAGTCATGGTATAACATCAAAATCGGATAATCAACTTGATCGTTTAAGACATGAACAACAAGATATTGACGATCATGAATTAGATTATGATTTAAAACAATCTCAATCAATACAAGAAGATTTTAAAAAAACTAATAGACTTTATTTGTGATACTTTATTTTGTTGATCTGTTTGTTTTTTGTAAAAAAAAAATAAATGAGAATATTGAAATATACATATCGGAATGTGCTCTACTCGTCATTAGACATGCAGCTGTTTCCATTTTGATCTTTTTTTCTTCTCTCGTTCTCACCTGACTGATACAATTAAATGAAATATTTTCATTCGTTCTCGTTTGTATTTTATATACATTCTTCATCATCATCATCTTCTTCTTCTTTTTTTCTCATTTCATTTTTATTTCAATATGATTCTCGATCATCATCAACTTGCATATCGTCTTTTTAATATAATTCAATCTAATGGTGATATATATGAAATAAAAAAACTTCTTTTAAAAATTTCTCAAATTAATCTTAATTATTTAAAATATGATGGACAATCATTAGTACATTTATGTTGTCTTTATAATCGATTAGATTTATTAAAATTATTTGTTGAATATGGAAATTGTAATTTATTTATTAATAATCGTGATGGATGGTTACCATTACATATAGCTGTTTATCTTGGATATATGGATATTGTCTATTATTTAATTCAATCAATGAAATCATATTAAACATTTCTTCAGATGTTTTGAAAAAAAGGAATACGGTAACTATTTTATTTCATAGTCGAACTCATTTATGGTTGATATATCTTTTTTTTTGTGTTTTTAGGAAACTACAAACAGTGATTGATAATCAAAACAAGTTGTATGCGTCATGCATCGCTAATAAATGAATAGATTTATCTTTTTCTTTTTTTTTTTTTTTGTATGACATTGAAAGAAAGCGATAGTTTTCTCACCTATTCATTTTTCCCATGTTGTGTTATGTAAATAAAAAGTGAATCGATCGGTATATCTTTTTTACGATAAAAAACAAAAACTTAATGATATATCTTGTTATATATACATATATGACAACGTATTGAGAACAGGCGTCACCATCAATGTTGTCCTACTTGAACATTCCACTTAGTGTAGCTAAATGATATTTAGACAATCTTCATCAAATAAATGAAATATGTAATTTAGTTTTCAAGTATTCTTGCGACTACATATGAAGAGATATTGACGAAGTATTTTACATTCATTAGTTTACTTAAATTAATCAAATATTGAGCATACGAACAGTCTAATATTGACTAAACTTGTTTCGTAGACGCTTTTTTTTGCTACCAAGGGTCTAATGCGTGTACATGATTTGTTGCCCGTTAATTACATATAAAACATATTTCAATTAGTGTTTTTAGTTGAGTGAGAATTTACTTTCCATTGATTATTTGGAAAAAGAGAAATGAATAGTGTGGGTATTCGCTTCAATGACACCTACACTATTCATTCCTCTTCTTCTAAATAATCAACGGAAAGTAAATTCTAATACAAGTAATGTGCTAATTGAAATAGATTTTATATGTAATCATCAGACAGTGAACCGTGTAAACTGGTCTAAAGCAATTAAAAATTGGGACATGTGAATTGATTGATATTTCATACGTTACATAGATAGGTGATGATATGTCTCGGATCTATTTTAATAGATAGAACATTAAAATATAATTGAATTCGAGTGATAACTTTGAAAATTATTTCCAACGACGATTTTGTAAAGTTTTATTTTTAAATCATTAGAAAAAAATTTATTAGAGCATTTTTTCATGCAGAAAAAAAATGCATATATTAGCACTTTACATATCTTGCATAACAAGATAATCTTCCGGTACATTAAATGAAGGGCCCATATCAGAACGAACAAGTGATCGATAGTTATTCCATTTTTTTATTTCATTATAGAATGAATTACCTGGACAAGCTGTACTATCCAGATCTCTAGAAAAAAAAATTAAAACAACACTTCTATATATACAATTCTAGACAAAAGTAATTGTCACCCCATAAAATGATAGTATTCTTGATGATATTGAACTGATATTTTGGATGCATATGTGCGACAATAAAGCCTGATTGTAAGTATCAACGTTCCATTGATCGGTTTACATATACTGAGGTTATGATTTAAACATGATCTTCCTCTTGTGAAAGATATATTCAACAAAAATATGTATTCAAAAAGTTTTTTGTCAGTTTCCTGGTCCACAAGCTACTGCTGGTTTTTTTTCAAGTACTAAAGGTAATTTCATATGCCTACTTTATTATTATTAAAACTCATGATATACAGTCAAGAGACTCATCGTCTTATGGGAGTTCTCTACTAAAATTTTCAAATGAATTGGTCGAAGTCATTGTAGGAAAGATTCTTCTTACTAAAAAAACCAACATTTACTGTTCAACAAACATTCTTAATGAGAAAATAATATCTCAGTCCTTTTAATGTGATTTCTAACAAAATTCGGACTAGAGTTAGCTATCACATTGTTCTTTCGAATGTGGAGTTGAACGAAAACATTTCTATCAACATGATTCAGATAAGTTGATCACAAGAGGAGGATGATGTCTGAATAGAATGCTACAGGACAAACTTTCGTGTCCCATCTCAAAACATATTCGGGATTGTCACTCAGGACTATGTGTGAATCATAGATCTAGTACACATGAACCAATGCAGGACAGGTTAGTGCTTGCAATGAGAATTTATAGTCACATGCATGTACCCAAAATATGAACTCAATATTATTAAGAACAGTAGCAGTTCATGGGAGGTAGCTACTTTTGTTCAGGACTGTATATCTGAATACAATAGATAAAAGAATACAAACCGATGTCCTCGAAGGATATAACTACTCTTGATATGACCTTTCGAAACACCACATTTAATTAATGCTTTAACTGCATTAATTGCTGCTGCATTGGGTTTTCGAGAAGTATAATCGCCAATAACCGAAATGCCTAGCAATTAATAATTTAGTAAAATTTAAATATAATGAAATAATTCAATGTACCGATTGATTTAGAATTATAGCCATAAGTATGTGCACCAACATATGTCCAACCTCTGCCTTCATAAATATTGCCATCTTCACCTACTAAAAAGCTGTATCCAATATCTGCCCAGCCTATAATTATAAACTTAATAAATCTTTAAAAAAACTCATTTCCACTATTTACACACCATTTGAATCCATATGATAGTTTTGAAAACCTTTCATTTTAGTAATACATGCACTTTTAGTTGTACATGTACCACCAGTTGTATGATGTATAACAACATATGGTACTGGTGTTGTCATTGCTGTTTTACTTTTAGCTGCTCGTGCACCCCATCCAGAACGAGTAACAATACTTGGACAATCTAGATTAAGTAATTATACAAGTTGTAGTTGAAGAAACTTTAAAAAATTCTCTCACTAGCAGTAGATGTTGATGATGCAAAACAACATTTGATATCATTTGGTTTACTTTCACATAAATTCGATATATAAAGACCACCTGGACAATTAGATGTTTTGATACATCGACCAGTCTTACCATATTGAGGATGATTATATGATTCACATGAATCGCCTTTTTTTAAGAAGAAAGAGTTAATAATTTTCAACTGATCAATAGGTTTTTACCTGTTATTGGCGTTACAAGAAGAGCAGTAATGACAAATAATAGTAGCATCGATCTAATGTGGAATGAAAACTTAGTGAAGAGAATCGCGGTGTATCTTTGTTATTATATAAGGATTTTATTGAAACAGTGAAAAAAACCCGTTCGATAATACTTTTCACTTGAAATTCAATAGCATAAAAGGATTTACATAGTGCATATGTTATCGAAAACTTTTGATTTTATTGTAATGGAAAAATATTGTTTTCGAAAAAAAAGTTAATTGAAAATGTGAAGCATTTAGAATTAAAAAGAAAAAGAACAAATACAAAATCTGTTATCAATATCAATATTGAGTTCATCTCTTATTTTGATTGGTATGAAATTGATTTTCAATGGAAGATTTCGTTAATTTAATCAGTCCTATCAAGTTTTAGCTCTAATTTTACAGATACTTATTTAAATGATGAAAATCGGTTATTGTCATTTATGATACAAAATTGACATAAAAGATCAAAAGCAGACAAGGATAAATATATTCTATGCGATAGCTTTGTTTTCATATCTTACATAACAAAATGGTCATCTGGTATAAATTCATATTAGAACGAAGAAGTGATCAGCAGCTTGTCCATCTTTTTATTTCATCATAGAAAAAATTGTCTGGAAAAACTATATTATCAAGATCTCTAGGAGTCCATTGCACGAGAGAGATAAACGATGGTGCCTAATTGATAGTCTCAGATTTTGATGAAAATTATCCCATTTTG